TGGTAAACAAGAAAAAAAACAATAAGTTTCATTTATTGCGCATAAGCTGCAAGTAAACAGAACTCATTAGATAAGTTCAAAATTAAGATAAAACAAAGAAAAATTATAGACATATGAAAAAAGGAGGGAAATAATAAGTAAAAAAGATAACAAACAACAATTTTTTTTTAAAAAAAAGAACAAAAAAAAGGATGAAATTTTATTTAAAAAACCGGAAGAAAAAGATATAATCTTTTCATCAGCCCACACGATTATATCCGCAAAACAGAGTGCTTTCTGATATTGTATCAATAAAGCCAAAGCAAAATGCATTAATACAATAGTGTGAGGATAGTGTTTTAAAAACTGTTGATTGTTATTTTTTTACTTATTATTTCCCCCCCTTTTTTTCATATGTCTATAATTTTTCTTTGTTTATCTTCATTTTGAACTTATCTGAGTTAACATTTCATCAATTCTGGCATTTTACACCCAGATTTGTTGGGCCACTCTTTCAGGGGCACCATTTAGGTTCATTGAGGAACATTGAGGAAGATAGTACAGAAAATAAAAGAACATCCATACCTTATCCGGGATTCGAGCCCAGAGCCTTTTCGATGTAAAGCCAGTTCCCTAACCCCTACACAGTTCGGTCGGCATATGTTGCACAATGGAAAGTGAATTTAAAAATTTTATTTCCCTCTTAAACAGATCTCTCACTTCATCAGAATATCCTCTTTGTTTCAGCTGTTTATAGAATACATTGCGCGATAAAAAAATTGAAGAAAAACAACGTTGCATATTGAATTGCTTTTAATTGAATAATATTGAGTTTCACTTACTTTGCGTCACCCCAAAAGTTTTTACCGTTCTAATCGTATATCGGCTCTATGACTCACTAACAGGAAAGAACTATTATACGTAGTATTAAACAATACTAATCACTTAAATTCGTTTTATTGTTGCATACATAAAATTCAAAGCAATATTCTACAAATTGTGTCGAAGTGTAATAAATTTTATCCTACTTTTAAAAAAAATTCTTGCTCGTCTAAAAACTGTGCTTAAAATAAATGCGACAATGAATTCTTAATGTAATTTGAGGGATATGCCAATAACTATGCTAATTAGTTAATGAAGGTGATAAGGATTTTAATTCACAAAATCATACAAAAAAATACTTTCTCTGAATAAAATTAGAAAAATTTTCAATAGGTTTGAACTTTTCAACCCTTTTAAAAAAATCTCGAAAACTATCAAAATAAGGTTAAATTGAACAGAGCACCAGAATAATACTCTCTAAACCGAAAACAAATTACTCAACTTTTATACTTTCTTTTCCTTACTTTTATTAAATTTTTAGGTGAAATGCAAGTACGGAACAAAATGATATCACTACTTCTATACTAACGCTATGCTAAAAAATTTCCCTCAGCAGCAAATGCTCTGGAAGATTACAAGTATAATTATAATTTTCGAATTTGAAAGTTCATACTGAAAGCTTTTAGAAATGTTGTCCTTTTTAAAAATGTATAGTTTGCATCGACCAAAATGAGCGCAGGAAGTTAAAAGCTTATTTCCCTCTTTAATACCATTTGAATTCTAAAAAATTTCTTCCAAAAATATCGCAAATTTGTGGAATGATTTGGAAATGACTGTTATTAAAGCTAGAAAGCAGTTATTAAATGCATACGGTTCCAAGTTTTGCACAGCTAAAAAGGACACAATTTCTAAAAGCTTCAAAGCGTGATCTTTTAAATTCTATCAACAGTTGTTCCATTAAAAATCTACCAAAGCAATTGATGCTATAAGAAATATTTTTAATATGCTTGCGTGTAAAGGAATTATTGGTGTTAACAATCTAAAATCCTCATATTATACAATACATTGCTCATTTTTGTTGCACCTAACTTGCTTTAGACCGTATTGACGATATAGATATATATATATATAATTGAGTGTGGTATTAATAGGTGATTTGACCGAGGAAGAGGAAGTGCTCGATTGGCTGACCAGTCCGGATAACATGGAGAGTAGTGATGCTATTGAGAAGGTAAATAAAAGAATGCTGGAACGAGTTCTTCAGAGATGCGATTACTTGGCTGTTTTTTTCTGTAAGAATAATCATCCTTTCTTCTCTTGTTTTTTCCTTCTTCTTTTTCTAAGGATGTTTTTCGAAGCTATTTTGGAATGTGAAATAAAACAAATCCTCAATTTAAGTGCCTTACACTTGAAGCAAAGCTGTAGTTTATAACTATCCGTGCAACCTTTGAAGTAAATAAGTAGCTGAGCTTTAGAATAGAGAAGTTGCTGAAATATTTCTAGAAAATCGTTAAACGTTTTTGAAAAGCTAAAATTTAAAGAAATTTTTCAATCTAGATGAAAACAATCAAAATCACTGAATAGTTTTCAGTTTTTCAAATCAAAACAGTTTCAAAAAAACAAAATCAAAACAGTTTTCGAACTATCATACTATTTCTTTCAAAAAGTTCTTTTTCGCTACAAGTGACCTTTAAAAATACCCTTAAACTTTGCATTTAGTTATTCCAACCCCTATAGAAGACCCGAAGCAATAATATGTCAAATAGGAATTATTCAAATTTAGGGAGAAAATTAAAACATACAAGATAAATTTATATCAAATCATATTGAAAACTTCCTGTTGCTAAATATTTTATAGCTTTCTTTTCTTAAATGCAATCTGAAAAAGATGAGTCTTTTTCATTCAATGCACTGTACGTCCTTTAAGTATGGAAACGGCAAAATATTTCTAGAAATGCTCATCGAATTAAAAACCTAAAAATACACACGTGAAATATTTTCTAAGAATGACTTAGAGCTTCCGTGGCTCAGGGGGTAGAGCGTTCTTCCTCCAATGAGGTTAACCAGGTTAGAATCCTAGCGATGGCTGACCGATACGAATTCGGTACCCAGCTAGTACCGGCCACAGTGGTGACGTAAAATATCCTCAGTGGTAGACGGATCACGGGTTAGAGTTCCCTTGTAGTCAGACTAACCGTGGGAGGTTCCCCCCCCCCGTCATCGAAACACAAATGCATGTTAGTTCTCTCAAAAAGTCCTCCACGAAGGAAAATTTCTCCCAATACTTGATCTAGGAATTCCCTTTTCTTCTGGATTGGGTTCAAAATTACAAGGCTACGATGTTGAATATTAGTAGTCGTAAACCCAAAATTGGGTTGGCTGTTCAACGACGGCTGTAAAATAATATAAAAATTATTTAAATAAAATAAAAAAAAGCTTTAAACTGCCCGGGCTAGGGTAAAGGGGAATTCAAAATCTCAAATTATAACCACCATCTCTATTGGAGATTTAGATTTTCCAGGAAAAAGAACTAGAATGTCACTAAAACCAACCCTATCCGGTTGGAGTCTCCGTAGTTTAAAGGGATAGAGAAGGGTGTCAAGTTTAATGTCAGCAAACAGGTGCAAATAGAGAAAAAAGTTTTTTTTCTTCCTGTAAATACCATACACGGCTATTTTTAGTTTTTCGATCGAACATCCATTTCTCAAGAACACTCTATTTGTATCATTCGATTACATCATCAGCTATGAACTAAATTACGAAAACCTTTATGTCAAATCGAAAATATTAAATATGCTTATCTAAAAAATTGACGTTGCTGGGGAACGTTTTCATAGGAGTGCATTTTTGAAAAACTTTCCAAGCGTGTTCCCTTCCGATGCTTGTTCCTCGACCTATTTTCCGTTTCCTAACTTTTCGGAGACCCTGTATATAGTTCTTAATAAATAACGAAGTTCAAACAATAGCATGTAATTAAACATGAAAAACATGACATGACATTAAAAGGATGGAATTACATGGTTAATGTGCTGCTTATTTCTGCAGACTTAGGTAATGTCCATATTCGGTGGCAAAAATTGACCATCTTGGCCATACTAATCGACGTAATTGACGAAATAAATGAATAACGATTCTTCAACGAATTTTTAAGTTAATTGTTAATCTTCAGGTGAGAAATTTCGAAATACTAGAGTTCCATTGACAAGTAACCGACATTTTTATTTTATATGACAATTTAAAAATGCTAGCTGCCTTTGCCAACCCGTTTGGTCTCCTCTCAAAATTAATCTTATGCAACACCTAAACTTTAATGGTAACTAAACTAAATGAGCAGCACTACTACATTTAAATCTTTTCCAATCCTAACACCTTAATTAGTTTTTAATAATATATTTATCAAATTTTTACACTGTCAAGCTATTGCTCACACTATGATTTCAATTTTGACTATTTTCAAAAGATATAGTGTCTCTCTCTCCGTGATAGTGTCTCTATGCATTGAATTTTAGTAATAATTAAAAATATGTTCGGCAGCTGTGATATCACACAAACCATTTCAGCATAGTTACTATTATTTCCATCTCTGCCTCGTGATAAAGAAAGAAACCTCATCTCAATATTTCATTGCGTGCTGTACTACTTCCTCAAACATATCCCAAGCCATAATAACTTCGTATAAAATAGGTTGCTCTAGAAAAGACAAGCTTCATCAGCAATAAGTAGCGTGATAGAATGTGGCCCCATAGCACTGTTTATGTTAAAAAGTTTCTATAGCCATTTTAGAAAGAATCAAAAATAAATCTAAATAATTACTTCGCAACTAAATATTTTATTTCTATAAAAATACAAAATTCTTCTAATTAAATATTTTACGCATACTCAACTCTACTTAAATTGTTACTTAAGACAACCTAACAAAATGAGTAGTGAATATATATATTCAATCCTATGGTTCGCAAAATCTTTGTTCAGCCTTAGACTTTGTCATCTTCTTCCTCCGAAGCTTTCGTAGGCACAAGCATGGAAACACACATCTAGGGTAAGGCAGGTAGCCTTTCCCTTGATATGATACTTCTTTCAATTGAGAGGAGCCTCCCTTATATACGATACAAAAAGTTGATACTAATGGACTAAATCATTATCATTTGCTAGAGTAGGAATCTTTAGTATAATAATCTTCATACCAGATTACGTGTAATAATCTTTAGTAAACGCAAATAATTTTTATAACCGTGTTGACCCATAAATAAGGATAGTTTGAATATAAAAGAACATTAGAGTGTTGATATACTTAAATAGATTTATCTACATAGACGCCATGAGTTTATAAATAACAACACGCCAATATGATAAGTACTTTTTCTTTACGAGTAAAGTATACCTCAGATTTTCAGCTACAAAACAGAACTAATTTCGACTCAAATTACTCAGTCTTACCCTACATTCGCCTATATATTTTTTTAGATTCCTTCTATAAAATAAGGTAAAAAGAAATAATGACATATGGAGAACAAATTTATATTAAGTGAAAAAAATAATAAAAACTTTTATACTCCAATTGCTACGAAGATCAAAACAAAATAAATAAATAAAAGCTAAAATGGGTTTCAAATTATCTAAACCAACGCTATTTGAGAATAAAGTTTGGAGGCGGTTAATAGCGAAAAAAGCGAATGCAGTCTAGTCCCAATAAACTGGTTTCTGATGTTTTTAATCATATCTTTGCTTTTTTTTTACCCCTACTGTGACGAGTCAAAGTTAATTGGAACATATGGTAATTTTCACCTAAATGCTAAATTGCTATTTAATTTGTTTTTACTCCTTATTTTTTAAGGAAGTGTTCTAAAAAATGTGTATTAAGGGCAGTCGCTTAGAAAAACCCTGTATGAGTGAATATTCTTTTAAGTCTGATTTATAAATAACTATATGTTTGCAGATCGCAAAACGCATTGTCGCAAATGTGCAAAAGCTTTGGAGGAGCTGGAGCACATTGATGATGATGCGGAAGCTGAAGGAATTCATTTCGTGAAGATGGAAGATGAAATTTTTGCTCGAACATTGGGTGTTTATAACATGCCTTCTCTCATATTCTTCAGGTTCGGCAACACAAAAGATCCAGTCATCTATGCAGGTATTCTTTTTTTTTCTTCTACTATGAAATAGGTGGCTTATTTTGTGGATATACCTCGTATGTATATTATATATATATATA